AATATAATAAAGGTAGAGAGATTACATTAAATATTAAAGCTATTAAATATAGAATTGAGAAAACCCCCGAAAAATTAATGGTAGAACTCCTTGGTTTAAAATTATCGAAAGCACTTAATAATTCAGATAATAAACCCGGGCCTACCGCAGCAATTTCCTCGGCTGTATTTGTAGCGGTATTTACAGCAGTATTTGCAGCATCGATTACAGTACTACTAACGGCCGAAACAGCTGGTTCTACACTAGGAATTGAAGGAGTTGAGATTGACGAAATTGGAATATCAAGACGTTTTTTGTTTGAGTATTTACCAGTGATTTCTGAAGAAGATGGCACTAATAATAAAAATTTTATTTTTTTAATAAAAAAAAAAAAGATTTGAAAAAAATCAAAATTAATAACTTATATTTATAAAAATTATTAACCAGTGAAGGTGTAGTGCATGAATTATCTAAACAATAACCGTATAAACTGAAAGTTATATTATTTTTTTTTGTAATTAATTTTATCGGTGCTTCAAAAGTAAATTTTGACAAATAAATAGTTTTAGAACTACCAAGCAAAAGGATAATAAGAAGTAAAATAGACAAAAGAATTAATATGACAGAAGTAAATATTAAAGGGTATTCTTTTGATGGCCGGACTATATGAGAACGGAAGAATGATTGAACTGGAACGATAACATAAATATAAAAAGATGAGTAAATTTTAGGTTTTTTGCTAAAGATATCACCCATCTTTACACTATGACAAGTGTATATTTTAATATATTTCCTTTTAACTTAGTAAAACCTTTGGGTTGACTTGAACAAGAACGCGCTGTGTGCCATCATTATTTCTTGACAGGATGGAATCCTTATATTTATAAAAAAAATCATTTATTTTAAAAATAAATAACAATTGTTTTTCTTTAATTTGGGAATAATACTTAAAAAGGTGGCCAGTTTAATTTAAACATTGGAATACAATTAACAAATTCTAATAATACGACCAATATGAGAAAAAAAACAAGAATACTCAATTGTGTTAGATATAGAAATTTATTATGAAGATGACAAATAATTTCAGTGAATATTTTTGCAAAAAAAATTATTACACTAAATAAATCTTCGTGATACTAAACAATGATGCAAAACAGGATTAGTTTAAATTTTAATAGATATTCCTATCTTATAAATTATTGTGTATGAGAGTGAAAATCTAACAACTGTCGTACTCAAATACACTTACATTATTTGCTAGTCCAATTGTATCTCCAACAGTATCATAATTTTTCTGTTTAAAAAAATTTTTTTAAAAAAGAGATAAATACTAATTCAATTAATCGCTTGTTGTTGGTCAAGAATTGGACTTTGTCTTATCACATGAGGATGTTCAGAATTATATTGACGTGACTAGCTGGTTTAACTATGATTGTTTGATTTTATTTAACTATTTCTATTGCAATACTTTT